GATCTTCTTATTTAATATATTTACTATATTTACCTCATTTGTCGAAAAATTTTCATAGATTTGCAATCGTTGCTGAAAATATGTAATCGAAAATTCAAATACAACTTTACAATTATTTTCTTTGTAGTCTGATTATGTTTGTATGCAAATTCCTAAGAAATTTCATTAATTAAGGATTAACCCCCTTATTCACAAACAATTTTTTTATTTTATAAAAGGTTTATAAAACAAAATTTTCATACAAAATCTAATTTATAAACAATTTATAAAATAAAAATTTTGTTTGCGAATAAGGGGGTAAAAATATATTCTTAAATTAAAATATTTTTTTTGCCATTTAATCTTTTTCATCAGTAAATATACACACGTCTTGCATTCAACACATAAACAAATATTTACTATAGTTTTAGTTTGATTTTTTTTTCATCTTCTATCATCATCATTAATGACCATTTATTTCAATATTTACAATATCATGTGTAGTATTGATAATTTTTTTTAATACTACTGATAATTACGAATTGTATATTTGTTTGTTATTGTGCATCGCATCATAATTTTTGCTTTATTTACAGGCTTTAAACAGTAAGTGAGGGTTAATTTTCAACCAGAAAAAAAACTGGACGGATTTTTCTACCAACCTTGAGCTCTTATTATTTGTAGAATAAATATGATGATCAGTTATGTCCTTAATTGAGTCTTTTTCTCATCTCACTTTATACAGAAAAGTGTTCTGAAATGTGGTACTTTTTGATATCAAAAAACTTAAAAAAGTAAACGAATTTATAAAGTTCTTAAGCTATTTAAGTTGATCTGTCTATTGATCGTATGATATTGTCGAACAATTTGGTACTTTTCTGCCAAGCTTGAGCTCTACAATTTAGTGCTATTTAAAAAGTATTGTAGTTTTCCCGAGACCTAAAAAACTGCTATGTTATTCTGTATATAGCTCTAAAACCTTTTCAGTTGTTCTGCCCCTAGTAGTAGACGTATGAGAGCATCAAGAGCCTTAAGGGTAAAAAATTGCCACCTGAACATAGGTCATGAAATCTATTTCACACAGATTTGAAATTTTTCAAAATTATAACATTGGAAAACTCTGGAAAAAGTACCAAGTACCATTTCAAAATCCCTCTTTTCCCATTCCTGTTATTTACACTATATATTCATGAAAATTTTCTATTCAGTTGTATTTGTTTGCAAATAGTCTGTTTCTGTTGTTGTTGTATTCAATTTTTCATTCTTGTTTATAAAATTCTTTACGTTTTTTTTATGTAAAACTTTATTTTGTTTTTGTTGCCAGACTTTGTATGACAACTGGCTGCATACACACTCGGTACATTCCGTAACCATTTGTTTAGATGTTTGTACTTTATTAATGTCATACAGTTTTTATGAATTTTTTCAGTTTTTCTCAAATAAAAAGGGACTATAAATTTGTTTACAGCATTCTAAGTTTGGCTTAAGTTATAAATGTATTCGGCTGCGACGGTTACTACTAATGTTTTGAAGACTTTTTAATGTATAAAAAATTACCTTTTTTAGTAATTTTTCAATAAATTAGCTATTTTAAATTTTCATTAAATTTGCTATTTTTAGTAAATCTTCGATAAATTTGCTGTTTTTAGTAAATTTTCAATAAATTTGCTGTGTTTAGTAAATTTTCAATAAATTTGCTGTTTTTAGCAAATTTTCGATAAATTTGCTGTTTTTAGTAAATTTTCGATAAATTTGCTGTTTTTAGTAAATTTTCGATAAATTTGCTGTTTTTTGTAAATTTTCAATAAATTTGCTGTTTTTAGTAAATTTTCGATAAATTTGCTGTTTTTAGTAAATTTTCGATAAATTTGCTGTTTTTAGTAAATTTTCGATAAATTTGCTGTTTTTAGTAAATTTTCGATAAATTTGCTGTTTTTAGTAAATTTTCGATAAATTTGCTGTTTTTAGTAAATTTTCGATAAATTTGCTGTTTTTAGTAAATTTTCGATAAATTTGCTGTTTTTTGTAAATTTTCAATAAATTTGCTGTTTTTAGTAAATTTTCGATAAGTTTGCTGTTTTTAGTAAATTTTCGATAAATTTGCTGTTTTTAGTAAATTTTCGATAAATTTGCTGTTTTTAGTAAATTTTCGATTAATTTGCTGTTTTTAGTAAATTTTCGATAAATTTGCTATTTTTAATAAATTTTCGATAAAATTGCTATTTTTAATAAATTTTCGATAAAATTGCTATTATTAGTAAATTTTCGATAAAATTGCTATTATTCGATAAAATTGCTATTATTAGTAAATTTTCGATAAAATCGCTATTTTTAGTTAATTTTCGATAAAAGTGCTATTTTTAGTAAATTTTCGATAAAATTGCTATTTTTAGTAAATTTTCGACAAATTTTCAATTTTAGTGGGTTTTCGTTAAATCTACTACTTTAAAGAAATTTTCGTCATTTTGCTATTTTGTAATATTTTTAGAAAAATTTTGATTGATTTCCTACTTTTAGTTGAACAAAATTTTTGTGTTTGATTTCTGTAATATAAAATCTTCCGATAAAACTTGTAATTTTAAACCACTTAAAGTTTTATTTTTTAATGTTAACAAATCCGATTTATTAAAAGTTAAAACATAACTAGTAACCCTCGCATAAACAAACACTAATGCAGCTACTGCTCTCCATACATCATTATTATTTTTCCTTTTCATTTTACTATTTGTATTTTGATGCTGATGATTGATAACTCATTTAATAAAGATGAGTAAATAATCATGAATCTACAGAGTGCAGATAGACAGACAAACAGAAAGACAGACTTTCGCATACAACACGCATATCATCAGAAGTAGTAGCAGTCGGTCGGTAGGTCGATTGTCGCGCTGGTTGTCATGAGCTAACGGCCATAGTGCATGACGATGTATGTATATGTGTAGGTATGCATAATGTGTGAGTGTATGTATAATGTTTGTTTGTAAATAATGAAAAGTATTATTGACACTATAGTCATTCATTATTTACAAAAATGTACGGTTTTATTGGGTCAAGTATTTTTTTTGCTGTAATATTTTTTCTTTCTTATTTATTAGGGGAAAAATATAGAAAATGCATTGAATGCTTTTCTGTTAAGTATTAGAACAGCAAAATCTGTTGGTTAAAAGAGATTGATGGCTACATAAAATGATTTGGTATAATTTTTTGGTGTTATTTTTAACTAATTAGAAAACAGGTTTGGAATATCGTAATATTTTGCAAATTTTTTTCAAAATGTTTAATCATTCTTTTGTTTTTGACTTTTAATAATAGATCTATTTTGTCATATTGTATTTAATTTAAAACAAATTATTAGATATTTATATAATGACTAAATATGAACTTAAATTCTAAACAAAAATCAATAATTTTACTTTAACAGAGACTTAATAGCAAGAACAAAATGACTTTTATGTTTAACTAATAAATGGGTGCTTTTGACCTTTTAAGGTCTTTGATTGTAGAATAATATCGAAACAAAATAATCTTTAAATTTGTAGTTTTTTGTACTCAACACAATTAAGGTGATGAGGGTATGAAAGTTATAGACATACATACTTACATATACTTTACACAAAACATCTATAAATAAGACTTAACTGACCTTAAAACTTGAAATTTTAAAAGCTTTTTAGGCACGTGTGGAAATCTACAATATTAAGGCAGTTTTAGGAAATTTTTGATAAATTGTATTTTATTTATGAAATTCTTGATAATTTTCCTTTATTTGAGAAATTTTCGATAAAATTCTTTATTTAGGAAGATTTTTTATAATTTGCTTTATTTAGGAAATTTTCGTTTATTTTTGTTATTTAGGAAATTTTTGATAAATTTTTTTATAAAAACTTTAATAAATTTCCTTTATGTGGGAAATTTTCCATAAATTTCCTTTATATAGAAAGTTTTCGAAATTAGCAAATTTTCGATAAATTTCTTTTATTTACGAAATTTTATGCGTTTGTGCTGATGTTTGTAACACCCAAACATATTGGTCCTACACCCACCTTAAAGTATAAAATCAGCTCAGAATCCCTTTCTGAGTCGATTTAGCTATGTCCGTTTGCCCGTCCATCCGTCCCGGTGTCCTTGTAACCCTTGTGCGCACTCTACAGATCGCAATTTTCAAGATAATTTGATGAAATTCGGTACATGACCCAAGGAAGCGAAGCCTATTGAAAATGGTTAAATTCGGTCCATTATTTCGTATAGCCCCCATATAACCATACCCCCCGAATAGGACTTCTGAGCTCATAAATATGTTAAATGTTCTTGTATCACTTCAAAAATCGGCAAAACTTTGTTTTATATAAGTCTTAATGATACTGCTGATTTCTATACTGATCGGACCTCATTTGACCCTATTCCTCATGCAAAGTCCTCTTCAGAAAATGACTTGATGGTCAAAATTCACATATAAACACTAATGTTACGATGATATTCTGCATAAATAACTGATGTAGACGTAAATCCCTCTACCAAAATTTATAAGGATAGGGCCATATTAACACCCTTCTCCTATATAACCTCTGTTTTGTAAAATCCCTTTTTTGTCAACAAATTCTTAAAATATTCCTGAATTAAAGTAAAAATTAAATTAAAAAATAATCAAAATTTGTAAAGTAATCACTAGTGTAGGGCATGGCCGATCATATGATACCCTACTTTAAGAAAATTCTGGTTTTGGGAAAAATTTTCAATAAATTTTCTATTTAGAAAAAATTTATGACAAAATCTCAACTTCTACAAAATTTTGAATAAAATTCTTTCAAAAATTCTCCGAAAACTGTATTTCATATTATAAGCTGAACTTTATCACAATGACAAGTTTTTGATTAGTTTTCAATTCCTAGAATTAGACGCTAACATGTCTGCTCACAACCTAATAAAAAATAAACAACATTAAAATTTAATCATAGAATTGATATTTTTGTTATTTACTTTTGATTAAATTTAAATTATTTTATGTTTCTCTCTTTTTTTAGCATCCATTGATGAACGTTTTCAACACTAACAGCAAAAATTTACCCGCAGAAGCCAAGAAATAAGAACCACGTGATATGAAATATTTTATGGTTCAATTGTTCAATTTCATTGTGACTGACTGCTCATAACATTCAGAATACACAATAGTCAACAAAACTATATTAATGGGGTAAGTAAAATACGAATACTACGTAGTAACTAAATATTAAATTTGATTAAATATTGTGAAATATGAATTTTGCCAACTCCTCATATAACATTTGCCATAAACCAATTGGTAATAAGGGGGCAATTGGGAAGAAGAGAGACTGGAAAATATGTTACAAAATATTTAAGCATGATTTTGACAAGAAATTGACATTTTTTTCGGTACTTGTGGTTGAAATTTAAAAAAAAAACAAATATTTGTATATATGAAATTGTTATCACATGTATTTCCTTTATTGTATACAACCATAAAAATGATTTATATACAAAATACAAAATTTGTTGCTGGTTCTTCGTTGTTTCTTTTTTTTCGTACAATAATTCGCTATATTATTTATTTTATATTATATATGTTTTTTTTCACATAAATTTTCTTAAGAGTTGACAGGTTTTGACACTATCACCAATTTTTTAATGTTCCCTCATACATATGAACACATACATACATATTTCTGCACAAATACAAACACCCGTAACTACATAAAAGTATACTACATATTTTATACAAAACTATCTTTCATTCATTCATACGTAAATTTGTATTTTAAATATTTATGTTTATGTGCGATTGTTTTATGTGACGTTATAAATTTTTTATTTGCAATTTATACTGTTATTTAAATAATCATTTGTTAATGAGTCAAAGTATTTAATTAGTGTTCATATATATGAATGTCATTCTATATGTGAGAGATGGGTATAATCGTGTGTGTGTGTGTGTGTGTTTGGTTTGATTATAAATTTCCCACCAAGCATAAAGTTAAAAGTTTAAAATTTTTAAATTTTTAACATGTTTAACATTTTTAATTTTTTAAATGATTTTCATATTTATATATGTTATTTTGATTTAAAAATTTTATTTTGTCTTTATTTTGTGTGTTTGCTGGGTTTCAATTGGTATGTTTATTAGTTTCTATGTGTGCAAGCGTTTTTTTATTTAATAAATTTCTTGGTTTGAGGTTTAAGGTGTGAATAACACTAGTAATTAATATTTAATTTCATCAAAATGCGTAATTTAATTTGAAATTGTATTAAATGTATACATAAATTTAATGATTGTACTTATAATTGTACTCGTTGCTACATAAATTAAGGAGATGCCAAAAATAGATTCTAAAATTGATCATAACATCAGTAAAATGTTTGAAAAAAAGTTTTCTATTTGATGGCAAATGTAATCTTTGTCAAAAAGTGCTTAAACTGCTCGAACTCGTTTGTTATCGTTTCTAGAACTAGAATCGGCAGAGAGTTCTAAATTCGCTCTTTGGCTTTATGTTTATGTGTAAGTTTACGACAGTGATATGACAAGAGCTCTCTTTCTAGCACTTTGCTTTCAAACGTTTATATGCTCACAAATGTATTTAATGTCGAAGTTCTTTACGTGAACACCTGCCGTGTTGTCCTATTTCACGGTGGACTTTTTCAACCACTGGGTAAGCTTTTGTGACGACTCACCACCGCTCCATTGTGCTTCTTACACGCAGGTGGCAAATTTATGTATATGGAATTTCCGGTCCAGTATACGTGTACTTTGCTCAAGTACTTGAGCTATCTAATCTCTGACCATTGCTGCCCCGTTGCTTAACTTCCGAGATACAAAAACATCACTTCCGTTTACAACGTTTATGGGATGGCCTCTGTTGAGTCGACAACAGCACCTAGAGACGTAAGATTGAAGTACGAATCCATCATATAAACCGAGACTTTGTTCATACTCACAGTGACACACTGTGGTAAATGTGGTATAAACAGATGGATGAAAGCAATCTTATACAAGTGATACCATTCAATTTTCCTTGCTTGTCCAATTATCTTTATAGTAAAGAACATACCTGTACAAGGAAGGAAAATTCAATGCTACATTTGTATAAGATACCTTTCGTCCAGCACCATTCAACCCAACGCACTACTTATTTATCCTACACACTCAAAATAGACATAAGAAACAAGATGCAATAGCAGCGAACTTATCCCGAAATATAGATTTCACCGTGCATCAGTCTTTTAACCGCAATTTACTCTTCCCACGAATTTGGCTTTAAACCACAGTCACTACGTGGATCCCAAAAGAACCTCAACCAACTAACCAGCCATCACAAGTTCTGCGGGCAACTGGCCATCTGGTTCTCAGGTTAGAACCCATTTCAAATCATTCCAAGGACTAGCCGAGGAGAGAAATGACAACAACAGTTTATTGTCCCGGCAGACTAGAGATACTGGTAGAGGGTAAAGTGGTGCATGAAAGATGAGGGTCTTTCATGAAGGAAACATGCCCCGGGGCGGCTCACAAATGTATGTATAAAAGACAAATAGAACCATTCAATAGCAAATCTTTGCTCTTTGTCTATCACTGGTTTATAGTACATACTTGTAAAAACAAGAGGGCCAAAGGGCTCTTTGGCTATCACTGGCTCTAAAATAATGTTCATAAATAGAAGTTTTATAAAGTTTTCTTTCATATTTTAGAAATTAAATTGGGCATTTTGTTAATCTTAGCATTGCCCTAATTAATGTCATGGTTATTTATTCCAATTTAATAGTTGGTTTATAATTTATTTATGTATGTAGTTTATATTTAATAAATGGCATTTGTTAATTTTATAAAATTTATGATACATTTGGCTTAACAAAAACAGATGAGGTTTTATTTTTGTAATGGTGTCAAAAGGGAAATTTTGATTTCCACAATATTTACTTTATTTGGGAAATATTCGATATTAATAACAGTTAGCGTGATCTAATGTTGAGGCCTTACAATGAACGATTTTCAATGGGTAAAATTCTGCAATTCTCAGAAAATATGTATTTTCAATTAGAATTATACTTGTTGTTTTTCTTCTTGGATATTTTCTAATAAGAAACATTTTTATAGTCTATATTGTATCGATCTAATTTCCAAGCATAGCTTCCATCTCTGAGATTTTTTCGTTAAGCAACTTCATTTGAAAAAGTTTCAATAAAACAGGCCAACGATGAAAAACCATTTTAAATAATTTTCACTAAACCCAGTGTTATTTGGAGGGCTGATTCCGAATATGAAAATAAAAAAATCGTATCAACCACCAATTTTCCCCATTTTCATCTTTTAGTCCTTCTGACTCTATACATGAGTCCCAAATATAAAATTTTGTAATTTTACAGAAGTTGCGAATTGTGGCCGTTTTTGCTTCTATACTTATACTTTAAGTTATAAAAATGGATTCTAGAAAATTTTAGAGCGATAGGACCACGATGTATGGTGACACCAATGTTCTGAAGTGGAAAACGATTTTTACAAAAATTTTGTTACTAAGGTTGTGTGCCAAACGGTAGCAAATTTCTATGGTAAAATAAAATGTTCTTATGGTGGAAAATATTATAACTTTTGCTGTGCCAAACGAAATTTTTTTGATTATATGAAATTTTGACAATTGTCTCTAATTTCACAAGAAAATCTGCATTTATTTTAATAAAAGAAACACTTTTATTGATTTTTTATTATTAAGATAAATTTCTACAATCACAAATGTATTATAAACTAAAAGTATAAAATATTTTATAATATATAAAACACAAAAATTGGTTAAAAATTGTAAAATGTTTTACAAATTTCTCCTATTCTTTAGTGTCACAAAACACTTATCTGACAAAAAATTTAACAAATTTTGGAAAATATTGTAATAAAACCATGTTTTTATCCTCATTGGATAGTGTAAACCGTATTTGGGGTATAGTCATAAATGGAAACCCCTTCAAACGGCAGTTTCATAACTCCAGTTTTAAACTTTTACCAATTTTGTTAAGCAAATTTTAAAATTTTTCTTTCAGTAAAGAATGAAATAAAATAGTAAAGAAATTAGGTCGATATCTCTCACATATTAGAAGTACCTGCGATTTGAGTTTTGAGGATTTCGGAGAAAACAATTTTTTGTTAAAATTTTTGGAAAACAGGTTTTGTTCTTTGCTGTTATCCATTTTATATAAAACTTTTTCAGATAATACAATTTAAGATAATTTGAAACATATGTATGTATATCTGAAGTTTTAGTTACGTCGAATAATGTTAAACCACAAACTGTGAAGATCAAACTCAAGCTATGCAATATTGGGAAATCCTCTTGAAATTTAGTTAAATATTATTTTGTTTTCAACCGATTTAAATGATACTTAGGACACTGAAAAAATTCAAATTAACCCTTAAACGTAAATATATTTTTTATAGTTATTCGATGTCATTTTGCGAGAAAATGGTGGCTGATTTCAGATTCAGTTTCAACAGCTAAAAATACATTAAAAAATAGTACATTTGGTTTTAAAAGCTTTCACAAACCTTTATTTCGTTTTGGAAAATTTGCGATAAATTTTCAATGCAAAATTGTTGAAGAATTCTATATTTTGTGGAAAATTCTAGAGCTATGAAGTCTCTCCCCCGTATTCATAAAGTTATTAATCATTTATTTTAGGTTTATTACACACATTTTCCATACAAAATTCTACAATAAACCATCAACAACTTTATTAAGCGTTTATGAATATGGCGACATGTGTATAGAAAAATTAGGAATAAATTTTGGAATCGTGTGAAATTTATTATTTTTAAAACAACTTCTTAAAATTAAAAAGAAAGTTATGTTTAAAAAAAAAACATATTCCCTCTACAATTCACAGCACAATTCGAGTATAAATTTCAATTATTTTCTAAATAATAATGTAATTTTTTAATCACCTGCATAAATACATACTGTATATAAATGTTTTTAGCCATAATTTGACCATAAAACAAATTATAAAAGTGACATTAAAATAAGTTTCTTTTAACAAAAAAAGAGAAATAATAAATTTAGGATTTAAAAAGCAATTATTACTTGTTTTTAATAATATTATTTTTTTTTTGCTGCTTACAAGCACTTTAAATAAAATTTATGGTTATTTAAAAAAATATGACCACATAGTAACAAAAAAAAATTAACAAAATAAAAAAAT